CCAAATAACTCTGAAGAACATCTATTTAATGTGCCCTTATGTTTTTCCACTCAGAAAGATCAAACTGCATTATATGATACCAGAACTGACAAGAGAATTGTTCTTTTAACATTGGGGGTGCTGGTGAGGGAAGAGTCTTAAATAATCTTAAGATCATCATCAAAGAATACAATTCCACATTCCTGAAAGCACTGAAGCAAGTTTGGCCCACTGTGACTGTGCACTATATTCTTGGATTCTTCTCCAATAAACATGATTTCTGATGTAGAGCACTATTAATGCTTCAGATTGTTGCCAAACAAAATATGAAGAACCACTTACTTAGGCACCTGATCTTCAGAATGCAGCATCGTTTGTAACAATTTCAACGCTAACTAAGTACACTTTGATGAGACAGCATTTAATAAAATGCTCATTAATTTCATCATTAGCAAGGGTATGCTAAGAAGTAAGCCAGTTTCTTATGTCACGCCCAATTAGCATCCCATGCTAGTAATCCCATTAGTATTGCTGAATTCACTAATGGAAAAACTAATGGGCATGCTACTAGGGCACATTAATTGGGCACGACACCAGTTCTGGTTTTAATTATTAAACTACGTAAATGAAATGTGTGTTTCTAAAATATTAAAATGTTGAAATAGGGTTGGAAAAAATAAGAGTATGTAGAAGGAAACAGATACAAAGAAAGTCAACTCACAAAAATTCAAGGGCTAGAAAGTAAACTTGGCATTTGGTCATGTTTCTAGCTGACCAAGTAAGAAGTCTATAAAACTTGGGACACTGTCCATGGGAGAAGCATCCCACTCACACTCATGGGAAATTAAAAACTGGTTTTTTTTAACCATGGTAACATGAAATTCTGTATGTCGTGAACATTGTCAGATACATTATGAGGCCCGAGAGAAGCCAGTTAAGTGTAGGATAGACATGTTCTGTCACTGAAACTGTTAGGGAAATATCAACAGAAATGGTTGACGTAAGATATTGTGCTGGATATTGTACTTTGGGCAATATAATTCTTCACATCTATTACATCAGATAATAATTAGTTTTCTCTTATGAACACCAGTAGAGTAAAGTTATTAGAGTTTGCAGGTAATTTTTGAAAAGTGTACATCTTACTCAAATTTGCTTTTAGTTTCAAATTTTTTACTGGAATATTTATTTTTGCTAAGGAAACCAACTTTTGAGTAAGAAATTTATGTTCATTTAGAAGATTTAGAGTAATTTTGTTTTTCTTTAATAGTAATAGTAAATGATGCTGGAGATAAACTGGAAATTTCTCTTACTTGGCCTGACTTGTTTATTAAGACTCAAAAAGATTACCACTGTGATAACCATAACATAGTGAAAAAGTACTAACTTTTTTCTGACTCACTAGGGTGGCAATTTGCTCTTCTCATTTTCTTTCTTTGTTAGTCTATTCTTTTGCTAATCTCTGTTCTTGGTATCTGACATTTCCTAGGTCATATCTATCTAGGAAAGCATTTGCAGCTACATACTGTTTTCTTAGTCAGAGCACTACATGTTAGAAGAGAGACTGCAAAGCATTGTGTACTACACTTAAGTTCGATATATTAATTTCTCATTAATATTTAACGTGAATCTTATTCTTTCTTGTTAATAGTAGTTAAGTGAATGGAAGAGAAACTAATTTGCCTGATGTTTTCTAGCTTTTAGAACAAATTTTCAGTGCTATTTTGTTAGTTTCAAATGCTTCTCCTCTTTTTCATCATTCTGCCATGAAAATTAAATCCTAACAACTTAGACTACAAAACTCATTAACTTTCTTATAAATATAGGTACTCAGAGTAAAATTGCATTTGTAAAGATTTTTATTCCAAGAGTTCTTTTCAGACTTGGGCACTGTGGTGTTCAGAGACATACATCACAGGAAAGCCAAAATGATGGCTGGACATCATTAATTTTGAGTTCTGTTTGAAATGCTGTGATTTGGCAATAGGGGCGGGGGGGAGGGGGGGGGGAGGGGGGGGGGGGGGGTGGGGGGGGGGGGGGGGGGGGGTGGGTGGGGGGCTGGGGGGGGGGGGGAGGGGGGGGGGGGGGGGGGGGGGTGGGGGGGGGGTGGGGAGGGGGGGGGGGGGGGTGGGGGGGATCATAATGTTGAAATTGGTAAATTGGTTTCTTTTTTTTATTCATTTATTCATATGTGCATACATTGTTTGGGACATTTCTCCCCCTACCCTCTGTCCCTCCCTCTCCCCTCCCATTCCCCCTCAGTCAGGCAGAATCTGTTCAGTCCTTATCTCTAATTTTGTTGAAGAGAAAACATAAGCAATAATAAGAAAGACAAAGCATTTTTGCTAGTTGAGATAAGAATAGCTACACAGGGAGATTCCTAGCATTGCTTCCATTTACAAATGTGTTACATGCTAAGTTGATTCATCTCTAACTGATCTTTTTTCTAGTTCTTGATCCCCTTCTCATATTGATCTCTGTTGCTTTAGAGTTTCTGTATTAGTTCCTCTGCAGTGAGGACCTCAAATACTATCATGATTTTTGGGTTTCTTGCCTATCCCCATACCTCCCATGTGTGCCCCCCTTAGCATGGTGACCCAAGTCCAAACAACATTGCTGCATTTGCCCTAGATCTAAAGTCCCATATGAGGAGAACATAATTTTTGGTCTTCTGGAGCCTGGCTAACCTCGCTCAGAATGATGTACTCCAGTTCCATCCATTTACCTGCAAATGACGATATTTCATTCTTCTTCGTGGCTGAGTAAAATTCCATTGTGTATAGATACCACATTTTCTTAATCCATTCATCAGTAGTGGGGCATCTTGGCTGTTTCCATAACTTGGCTATTGTGAATAGTGCTGCAATAAACATGGATGTGCAGGTACCTCTGGAGTAACCTGTGTCACATTCCTTTGGGTATATCCCCAGAGTGGATTGCTGGATCATATGGCAATCTATGTTTAGATTTTTAAGAAGCTCCAAATTTTGTTTTCCAGAGTGGTTGCACTGCTTGCATTCCCACCTAGCAGTGTAGAGGGTTCCTTTTTCCCACATCCTCGCCAACACCTGTTGTTGTTGGTGTTTTTGATGATGGCTATTCTAACAGGGGTGAGGTGGAATCTTAGTGTGGTTTTGATTTGCATTTCCTTTATGGCTAGAGATGGTGAGCATTTTTTCATGTGTTTTTTGGCCTTTAAATTTTCTTCTTTGAAAAGTTCTGTTTAGTTCAGTTGCCCATTTCTTTATTGGTTCATTGATTTTGGGAGAGTTTAGTTTTTGAGCTGTATATTCTGGTTATCAGTCCTTTGTCTGATGTATAGTGGCAAATATTTTCTCCCACTCTGTGGGTGGTTCTAGTTTAGAGACCATTTCTTTTGTTGTGCAGAAGCTTTTTAATTTATGAAGTCCCATTTGTCATCCTTTCTCTTAGTTGCTGAGCTGCTGGGGTTCTATTGAGGAAGTCCTTGCCTAACCTATTACTTCCAGAGTTTCCTGCTCTTTCCTGTACTAACTTAGAGTTTTGGGTCTGATATTAAGGTCCTTGATCCATTTTGAGTTGATACTAGTACAGGGTGATAAACATGGATCTAGTTTCAGTTTTTGCAGAGTTTTTCCCAGCAACATTTGTTGAAGAGGCTGTCTTTTCTCCATCGTATATTTTTGCCTTTGTCAAAAATAAGGTGGGCATAGCTGTGTGGATTCATATCTGGGTCCTCTATTCTGTTCCACTGGTCTTCATGTCTGTTTTTGTGCCAGTACCATGCTGTTTTTATTGCTATTGCTTTGTAATATAGTTTGAAGGGTATTGTGATACCTCCAGCATTGCTTTTTGCTGAGTATTGCCTTGGCTATTCACAGTCTCTTGTGTTTCCAAATGAACTTTAGGGTAGATTTTTCAATCTCTGTGATGAATGTCATTGGGATTTTGATGGGAATTGCATTAAACATGTAGATTGCTTTTGGTAGTATAGCCATTTTTACTATGTTGATTCTACCAATCCATGAGCACAGGAGATCTTTCCACCTTCTGTAGTCTTCCTCAATCTCTTTCTTCAGGGTTTGTAGTTCTCCTTGTAGAGGTCATTCACATCCTTTGTTAAGTTTACTCCTAGGTATTTGATTTTTTTGAGGCTATTGTAGATGGAATTTTTCCATATATTCTTTCTCAATTTGTTCATTGTTGGTGTATAGAAAAGCTAATGATTTTTTAAGTTGATTTTTTTATCCTGCCACCTTTGCTATAGCTGTATTGGATCTGGAGTTTGGGGAGTTTTTTTGGGTCTTTAAGGTATGATCATATTCATCTGCAAATAGATTTTTGACATTTCTTTACCTATTTGTTTCCTTTTATTTCTTCTTCTTGCCTAATTTGCTCTGGCTAGGATTCCAGTACTTGTTGATAGAAGTGGGGATGTGGACATCCTTGTCTTATTCCTGCTTTAGGGAAATGGCTTCAGTTTTCACCATTAAGTATGATTGTTGGCTGAGTTTGTCATAATAGCCGTAACAATGTTGAGGTACTTTCCTTTCTTATCCTAGTTTTCTTAGAGCTTTTATCACAAAGTGATGTTGGATCCTTGTCGAAGGTTTTTTCTGCATCTATTGAGATGATCAAGTGGTTTGTTTTTGTCTTTGCTTCTGTTAATGTGGTTTATTACGTTTATTGATTTTCATATGTTGAACTACCCCTGCATCCCTGGGATGAAATCCAACTTGGTCATGGTGAATGATCTTTCTGATGTATTGTTGGGTTCAGTTTTCCATTATTTTATTGAGTATTTTTGAATTGATGTTCATTAAGGAGATTGACCTATAGTTCTCCTTTTTGGAGGTGTCTTTGTCTGATTTTGGGATGAGTGTAATACTGGCTTCATAAAATGAGTTAGGCAGTTTTTCTTCCCTTTCTGTTTCGTGGAACAGTTTAAAGAGGGTGGGAAATTGATTTCTGACAAATATACAAGAGTCTGTGAATATATTTGTATATAAGCATTCATTCATTTATTCATTCATTCTCCTAAGGGGTCATCAGTGGAAGTTACCACAACAAATGATCATGGTAAACAATATAATGATAGCAAATGGTGTGAAATAATTGCTATAAGGCATGAGGCTTTTGGCCAAATCACTGTTGACGGGCAGTATACAGGTAAGTTCTTCTTTGATATATATATATATAAACAGCTGTATTGATCATTCTGGTGTTGCCATATTTCTGATTGCTTTTATTTCTGTATCTCTACTGCTATCATAATCTCCATTCAATTTCATTTAAATTGCTGTTGAATTTATCTCCAGTTTGTTTCTAAAATGATGAAGTCTGGCAACCAGTTTTTCATCCATGGAGAACTTCAGTAAGGCAAAAATAAGAGCAAAGTCACTGGTAACCATTCTCTATCTTTTACATCCTCTGCAACTTGCAAAGGCTTTTAGTTTCCTTCTCTTGTATTATTTTTGACTGCCAGGAAGGCAAATAGAGTAATGTAGTTATGTGCATTAAGACATGAAAAAAATCAAAGCTCAGAAAAAGGTAAATGATTTTTCCCAATTTATACAGTTAGTAACCAGAAATTTTGCACACATCTGCCATTGACTATATAACTTTAGCTTTCTTTCCATCCTACTCTAGATACCAACTACAAATAATTATAAAAATTACTAGGTTGCATATGATCCAGGGTATTAATGTATTTGGGATATACATATGTTATTTTCACCTCAGCCCTTTTTAGGAAACATATAATTTTAATAAACTCCCACAATACTCTAGGTATTGTTCTAGGTAATCTGGATACAGTGAGCAAACAGAACTTTCTAGAGTTCACATTTTCAATGAGAATGGGGTGCAAAGTCAAAATAAGTAAATAAGTATTTTATGATGATAAATTCTGAGGGTGAAAAAGGAGGGTAGGAAGGAAAGGTACCGGTGTATATGTGTCTGTGTTTGGGTTGAGTGTGTATGTGTGTTGGGACAAATGCTACATTTTATACAAGACTGTGTCTGATATGGTGACAAGTGATCAGAGACTTAAAGGGATGAAGGAGCAAACCATGAGCATACCCACAAAAGCAGTGTTTCAGACCAAGGAGACGGCAGGTATCAGGGCCCTGAGATGGGAGCTTACCTGTGTTGTGTATCAAGGAAGAAGGATGCAAAAAGGTAGTGAAAGGAATAACAATAATACATGAAGTCACAGAAGTCAAGTTATATAGGACCTTGGAATTTTACTTTGTAAGAGAGAAGTCATTGGAGCATTTGGAAAGAGGAGTGACAAGCTGTATCCTCTTTCTTCTTCATTTTCTCTTTCTTTTTTTGTTAGTACTGGGATTTAAGGCAAGAACTCTATCACTTGAGTCACACCCCCAGCCCTTTTTGTCCTATTTTATTTTTGAGATAGGGTCTTGCACCTTTTGCCTAGACTTTCCTGGAACTGCTATCTTCCCATCTCCCCCTCTTACATAGCTGGGGATTGTAGACATGCACCACCATGCTGGACCCAACTTTTTCTTTTTTAAGGGATCACCCTGGCTGCTCTGTTGAGAATAAATTTAAAGGAGGAAAGAGGGCTAAAGCATGAAGGTCAGTAAATAGGCTTTTGTCATATCCAAAAATTCAGGTAAGAAATAGTGTGAAGAACCAGAGAGATAACTGTGGACATAATACAATTCTGGTTGAATCGTAAATGTCAAATTAACAGAATTTGATGAGGTAAAGGGAGAACAGGAACTGATAAAATGCTACTTGTGGACCAAACCCAGCTCATGTCTGCTTTTATAAAGTTTTATTGGAGCACAACTACACCCATTCATAAATGTGCTATTTATGGCTGCTAAGATGTATAGTCCACAAAGATACCACCTGTCCCTGGATGGAATTTGCTGATGCTGTATGTCATGGTTTGGGGTCTTCATAACTGCAAGAGTCTAACTGCCAAAACTAAGGCATATAAGGCAGTGGTAAGAGATTTGGAAAGAGATGTTTAGAGTTAAATTTTGAACGCGTCAAGTCTAAGATATCAATGGGTCATCCACTTGCAGATACCAATCAAGCTGCTGGACTTGCAAGTCTGAATTCAGGCAAGAGGCCCAGAATGGAAATAAAAAATGGGAATTGCCAGCTAAGAATGCTATTTAAAGTCAAGTGACCATATGTAAATAGGGTTAATTATGGTGTGGTAGGCTCTGGGAAAACACAAACCAGCTCTTCCCTCCCTGTCCCCAAAGAGAAGACAGAAATCTTAAACAGGTGCCTTGCATCTTTATGAAATCATCCATGATCTAGGACCCTCTGGTCTTTGTCTCTGGTAGTTTGCTCTGGTGTCCAGCCCACTACTCATCTGTCCAGAACCTCTGGGAGTCTGTATAAGTAGAGACAGGAAGGTGTTTGAGAAGGAAGGATGTCTGAGTCATATCAACACCATTATGCTGGGACTATGAGGAGAATCAGTGATGAAAAGAAGGAACAGGCACTGAAGTAAAAGAACGAAGACAGAGTAGTGCTCCACAGCTCAGAAGGAATTCATCATGCGTTAAATTGGTACAAATCACTTATCCTGCTGAAGTTGTAATTATCATTTCCTTCTCTATAGGATCCTCATCCACCCTGAATGGTAGCACTATTATTGGGAATAATACCAAGTTGTTTGTAGGAGGACTGCCACAGGGTTATACCACCCTCAGGAAGGATCTTGGTAAGTTTAATTATGTGTTGTTGCCTATACTTGTAATGGAATCAATTTACATTATTTGGATGTATGAGTAGGTATTATTTTCTGACTCATGCTATATTTTCTATATCTGTGCATCAAAATTTTCTATTTGGTTTCTCCTTTGCTAAAAAATCATGTATTAGTTGTGCTTATCTTATCAGTACCCAGTTCTTGGTATAAAGAGTCTCAAAAAATTTTGTTGGAAAGAATTAAACTAATTTCAATCAAAGGTGTATTATTTTAGGACTTATGCATCAGTTTTTCTAAGATTTTAAATACCATATAAACAACACAGAACCTAACTTGTAGGTTCATGTAGTTCTTTACCAATGTACATTCTATATGACAATCACTAAACCAATTCTCAGATAGTCATGTGATTACATGTGGTCTTTGTCACAACAGAGTTTATAAAATATATAAACAAATAATTCTAACTTAATGCCATAAATATTGTAATTGAGGCATTGATAAGGTAATTTCCATATTTTTAGAAAAAGAGAACTAAAAGGTCCTCTAAGATGAACTAATAAAAGCTACCATGATCCTTATACAAAGAGCATTCACCCTTCAAATGCACTGCAAACAATTCTTGGGTTTTTCCCAAGTCCTTGATTAGGATTACAAGGTGCCCCCCAATTCTGTTTCAGAAATTTACAATGTAGCTACATTATTGATACAAAGAAGTCAGGATCCAGGTAAGTATAATTTGTTCACAAGTGGCAGTATGAATGGAACTGTGGTAAAGAAGATAAGTTTTTGTTGATGTTTAAAGAAGCATATATTAGAGTTTTCAAGATTAATTATAGACACCTCTTTAGAATGCCTCTAACGGAGAGAAGATTTTTCATTTAGTAATTTAAACTGATGCAGAAGTTTCTCTGAAACAAACACACTCATACAATACAGTTTTTATTCCAGTTATTTTCCTTTCAGGGTAATTTCAAGTATAAGTACCAGAAGAAAGAACACCCTGACACCAAGTACCTTTCCTATAGAGGACATATCTCCAGAATAAATAAATCATTCAAAATTGGACTATAGATCTTTGCTGATGAATGCCTTCCCTAGAACCAAGTCATAAACTCAAAGCCAACATCAGGTCTTGCACACACAAGGAAGGACATAACTATTGAATGTGACCTCAGTTGCATGCACCATTTTCTTATTGATGTTTTTCTTGCTTTCTTTTGAATTCTCTCATTTGCTCTGTTTCTCTCAACTGCCTATTATCACAGGTGTACTATATTCATAATCCCCCCATCTACCTGGGCTAGAGAGTTCCAAATTTAAGATCACTATTGCACAAATTCCTAAAAGTGAAAGCAAATTATTGATTCACTTGAGTAATAGACTTGTTCATCATGATGAGGGAAATATACTAGAAACCATACATTGAATAGAAATACTTTCCTTCAAACCTTATTTTGAAAAGCTATTATAGTGCTTTATTTTTAAGGTTTAGGGCAGGTGGATTTCTTTGCTAGTTTAAAAGGCAATGTTTTGCTAACACTGTAAACCCAAAGGATTTAAATAAACATCTGTTTCTGTAAATATGGTGAGTCCACCATTTAACTTATCTGGTGGAATGGTGTTTATGTGAATTACTTGAGGCTTGCAGTAACTAGATGGTGAGACCTATTGCGCATTTCTTTGGTTGTAATGGCATACAAAATTAATTACTTGAGAAGAATATTTCAAAATACATCATGTGTACTTTTTGATACCTACCAACTTTTGCAGAGATAATCCAAAAAGGTTTTGTGGGCTGTCTCAAGGATGTATATTTTATGAAGAACTATAATCCCTCTGTTATCTGGGAACCTCTGGATTGGCACAGTTTGGAAGAGCAAGTCAATGTGTATAACAGCTGGGAGGGATGTCTCACTTTGTTAAATGAAGGAGCCCTGTTTCCAGGAACAGGTGAGACACTAAAACAGACAATGATAGTTGCTTAGCATGTGAGTTACTCAGCTTTCAGTCACTATCACAAAGTATCTGGTATAATAGACTTATAAGAGAAAAGGGTTATTTTGCTACACAGTTTTTAGAGGTTCTAGTTCAAGATCAATTGGGCCTTGTGGGTCTTGGCCTGTGCATATGAACAGCACATCATGACAGAGTGGGATGAAGAAAATGCATTCACTCATCACAAGGAAGTAAAAGAGAAAATGAGGAACATCTAAGGGTTCACAATCCCTTCTGCTGACTTCAAATCCTTAGACTAGGTTCATCTTATAACGATCACATTGCATTAATCCAACCCTGGAGAAAAACCTTTAACATATAGACATTTAGGGGAAATAGATCCAAAATATAGCAGTATGTATGCTCTAGTTTTGTCATATTTTTAATCCCCTCTATTTTATTTTAACACTTTGTTAAATGAAGGAGCCCTGTTTCCAGGAACAGGTGAGACACTAAATCAGACAATGATAGTTGCTTAGCATGTGAGTTACTCAGCTTTCAGTCACTATCACAAAGTATCTGGTATAATAGACTTATAAAGAGAAAAGGGTTATTTTGCTACACAGTTTTAGAGGTTCTAGTTCAAGATCAATTGGCCTTGTGGTCTTGGGCCTGTGCATATGAGACAGCACATCATGACAGAGTGGGATGGAAGAAATGCATTCACCTCATCACAAGGAAGTAAAAGAGAAAATGAGGAACATCTAAGGGTTCACAATTCCCTTCTGCTGACTTCAAATCCTTAGACTAGGTTCCATCTTATAACGATTCACCATCTTGCATTAATCCAACCCTGGAGAAAAACCTTTAACATATAGACATTTAGGGGAAATCAAGATCCAAACTATAGCAGTATGTATGCTCTAGTTTTGTCATATTTTAATCCCCTCTATTTTATTTTAACTTCATATGAACCTAGTATCATGGAAGTGCCTAGTGAAGTCATCATGAACAAAAACATGTTTTCAAAGTCTAAATATTTAATATAAGTAGTGAGATTCATAAATGCATTTTTATGCCTTCTCTCTGGGGGGCCATATGGTTCATGGTCTACATATGTTAGGCCCAAATACATTCATTTGTAAACCACATATTTGGAAATCAGATTGAACTTTACTTTGAAACATCTTTTCAAAGGAGTTTTGTTTAGTATATTTACTAATAAATACATATTTATCTCATTGTAAAATGAGCAGTATTCTTAAAGCATAAAATTTTAGCTATGTGTAGCTATGTAAGAAGGTAAGGAAGCCACTGTAGGAGAACCAGTGAATAGAACCATCCTTGCCATTGTTCCAAAGGTTCAGGAAAAGGTGAGGTCCATAATCTTCAGAACATAAAAGCTTATGATATTAGTAAAATCATATATATATATATACATTTTCATTGCATTTTCTCATAAATTCCATTGAGTTTTTCTTATACAACACTATTTATTGTTAATACTTATATGAAACAGTAATTATCTTACATGATACAATTACATGATTTAGAGAGTGAATTGTTGACTCTGAAAAGTTCTATCAAATTCATTTTCCATGTCTAATAAAATTGCAACAGGGATTTTATAGCATTAATTTGCATGTTCTTTGTGATATACTTGTGTAAAAACGGTGTGTGTCTTAGACTCTTATAACACTCTTAAAAGTCTGGCAGTGTGCTAATGCATACTCGTGTCTTTAAAGGGTTCCTGGAACTTCATTCAAATATGTTTCATGGTGGAATGGACTTTGAGATTTCCCTTAAGTTCAAAACTGACCAGTTGAATGGGCTGCTTCTTTTCATTTACAACAAAGATGGACCTGATTTTCTTGCCGTATGTTAATTAACTTATTCAAATTTACTTTACAATATCAAACCCAAATGTTAGTATTGGCCTGAACTGTGGTTTCTGATTTTTTTTATTGTAGTTTTTTCCCCCAAATAATTTTGTTTGTTTGTTTTAGTGGGACTGGGGTTTGAACTCAGGGCTTCACACTTGCAAAGCAAGTGCTCTACTGCTTGAGCCACACCTTCAGTCTCTTTTTGCTTGGGTTATTTTGGAAATGGGATCTCACAAACTATTTGCCTCATCTGGCTTTGAACTACCATCCTGCAGACCTCAGTCTACCAAAAGCTAGGATTACTAGTATAAGACACTAAATTACTTGGTTCTCCAAGTAATTTTTAATTGTAGTGTCCTGTGAAATGGACCTTGGCTTTCTTCATTTTAGTTGTATCCTCACCCTTGTCAGTCATCATGTACTCAATAAATATTATTGAGTGAATAAATAGTAATCATGTTAATGAGCTTATCTTGTGGTGATCTTTTCCAAGCATTTTGTAGTTGTCTGTATGTGCATAACTGTGGAGGACACAAAGACATTTATCATTTGGGTTTTCCTCTTGAGGAACATATGCTTCCATTGGTGCCTCACAAATCCCGCTATATTTCCCTTTAGTCCTCCATATTGCTACATCATTGCCATTGAAAATATAATATATATCCATTGCATCAAACAGTAATGTTAATTTTAAGAAACTCTTAAAATAAATTTAAAAAATCAATACATTTAGACAAGAATACATTGAATGCCTACAATATGCTAAGCTTTCTTTTAGCATTTGCCATATAACAGTAAAAGAAGTAGACCTTCATAGAAGTTATACTCTAGTCTTCCATTAGGCTGCTCACAGATCACCCTTCAACAACTCTTTCTGTTCCCTAAGTGATTTTAATATACACTGCTACCCTCTAGAATTTGATAGACTAGAATGTTTCTGGCTGCTAAAATCACAAATCTCAAACTGTAACCTCATATCTTCTCAGCTCTCTGATCTTCTCATTTTTATCAAGACATTGAGAACTTTGGCAATTAGTTCACTTTCTACTTAACTTACTCTTTTCCTTCCTTGATATCATACTGCCAATGTCCACATCCCTATTTGCATCAGTCCAGCTACTTAACTTTTGATAGGTCTTTATAAGTTGCTTTTCAAAATACTCCTTAGCTTCCCTATTATCCTCATCATTGTCCTTACTTTAACAGTTTTCAGTGATGTTTTTGCAATTTCACTAGTTTCCAATGCATTCTTCTTCTTTTTTCTCAGTGGTACTGGGGATTGAACTCAGGGCTTCACCCTTGTTAGGCAAGTGCTCCACTATTTGGGCCACACTACCAGCTCCCTAATGCATACTACTTATGCCTGGGGAAGTGAATTTTTCATGCAAAATAATAGTGGGAAGAATATGATGAACTTTTTTTTCATATCACTCAAATCTTCCAATAATCTGGCTTCTATGTAATTGGCAAGACTCTAACCCATATGTACCCTCTGTCTTACCTAACTTGGTACCTTTCTTTAAACCTAATGCCTCTATGCCTTTGTGCATGTCAATCTTCCTCATTGGGGGACCTCCCATGAATCTTACATATTTCTAAAAACCTTACTTTAATTCTTTCCTGATTTCCAGGGAGCAAAAGGCATATCTGTTTTCCATTATTCCCATGGTACCCCATTGCTTTCTCGGTTATAGCATTGTTCCCACATTCCATGTATGCCTTGCTATTAGTGCAATTCTTTGAACTGTGTTTTTCTTAGAGAAGCAGGTGTATGAACATAGGGTCTCAACATTTATTGAGTGAAAAGTACTGTATATTTACTTGGAGAACTTCAAAACAATGACATCGGCATAGGAAATATAATAATTTTTATTTGGTTTTATCAAATTTTCAACTGTTCTATAGCTGCTGATCTGACCTCTAAAACAAAATTTTAAAATGGTAGTTAAGATAATATTCATGTAACAGTTCAGAGGAAAACATGAGTTTTCCTTTACTTTGAAAATTTGATAAAATATACTCACATTAGAAAATGGTACATTAATCTAAAAGAATACACACAGAAGCAATTATGTTAGAGATTTAGAATAAAACTGAAATAGTGAATCAAGATATATTTTGCAAATCACTAACCAGTTAAAATAAGCTTCATCAAGCTTGACATTTCTTTTTCATATTTTCTTGTCACATTTTCCCCAAAATTAAATTGGTGCATGCAGTAGTATTTTCTCATTTTCTAGAAACTAAGCAAATAGACATAGTTCAAACTGATCTGTTCTTTTCAGTAATTCAGTCATTTATAACAGGACTTAATATGTTAACTATATATTTTTTAAAGCAAAAGCCTACATAATATCACATCATGTAGTATAATCATTACTGAGTATGAATTTGTTTGATTCAATACAACATTCTTCATGTCAGTTGTAAGCTTACAGAGTACTTCATTATGTTACTCCAGTTTGGTTTAGGATAAAGTAGAATAATTTTATATAGGGATTTCAGGGAAATTTCTTGTTTTTCTTTAAGAAATTGACCTTCTGCTCTGTCCCATGCTGCCATTCTGCCTTTTTATGTATCCATTTTCTTTTTTAATATGATACACAGATAGAGCTAAAGAGTGGAATATTGAGCTTCCAGTTAAATGCCCGTCTTGCCTTTATACAAGTGGATCTTTGGCTGGGCCTGTCCTACTGTAATGGAAAGTGGAATAAAGTAATTATTAAAAAGGAAGGCTCCATCCTATCAGCAAGTGTAAATGAACAGAAAGAGAATGCTTCAAAGGCTGGAGCCCAGCCACTGGTGGTGAATTCACTTATCTATGTGGGTGGAATCCCACAGGAGCTGTGGAGCTCTTATGGACACTTGAGTTTGGAACAAGGTAAATTCTCTATAAAGCAATTCACAAGTTTCTACAGCTCTGGTCCTACCAGGTTTGGGTGGTTCTGTGTTTTAAGACATGGCATTAGACTAGCCAACTTCTGCTGTCTTTTTTGGAGAGTTAAGCCCTAACAACAATCACTTTCCCAAATAGAAGATGTTTTCCTTAAGAGCATGCCGTTATATGATTTATAATCAACATATTTTTCTGACATGCCCTCAGCAAATATAATTTTGTTTTATATTTATATATAAATATATAAAATGAATTGCCTTACATTTATATGTATATAAATGTAAAGCAATTATATGCACATTGTGTATAATTGCATATTAATAATATATGTAACATAAATTATATATATTGATTATATTACATGTGGTTCTGATTTTTTATATTGCTCATTATTTATATTTACAGATTAAAAAATAAACTTATTTCCTGCACAGCCAGGAAAATGGCAATTAAACTCATTGGTTTTGTGGTAGGAACTTTGGTAAATGGCACAATGTACCCCCAGTGCAACAATAATAAAAAACAAATTAGTGTTTAGTTTATTTATATATATATATACATATATATATGTATATACAATACATGTAAATTTATTTGCTCATGTATTTTCCTTGAAAACCCTTGTAGCTCCAGGTCTTTTTGATACTGATAATTGTTTGTATTTACAGATAAAAAATAAGTTATGTTGAAGTGCACATGTAGGAAAATGACAATTAAATTCGTTGTGTTTTGGCTGTTATGTCTGACATAAATGCTAATTATCTCCGTGCTCTTTCAATGGCACTTTCATGCAGAAAAAAGCCCATGAAAGTGTGGGCTTGGTTGAATTCCAAGCATCTTTTTGAAAAAAATACGTTTTTGATTATTAATAATCATCAGAGAAAAGCAAAGTGTAATCTAACCAAAGGAAACATTTACCTCATATGTTTGTATGTAATTAGAGAAAGTAGTCATTTAAAAGGGCAACTGGGCACGGTGGTGCACACATGTAATCCTGGCACTTGGGAGGCTGGGGCAGGAGGATCTTGGGCTGTGTACTGAGCCTGAGCCATGTGGTGAAACACCTAATTTCCTAAAGAATATACAAGTACAGTATGCATGACAGGCATGGTTCTGAGAACTTTCCATGAGAAAAAAGAGGGCTAGTTCTTCATAAGAAGTCTGAATCAGGCATTGTTACTCATGACCCCGTTTTACAGATGAGAAAACTAAATATTGGAGAAGAAAGTAATTTGCCCAAGATGACCTAGCCATGGCAAGTAAGCAGACAGGAAGCCTGTCTGTGTCAGGCAACTGGGTGTCCTAGTCTCTATTGCTGGCACTGGCTAGTGCTCCTTCTTTGTGAATTGGAGAAGTCACAGTAGCCTCTAGCATGTGACTACTAGGCACGCTGTCATGTAGAAAATGTTCTCTCTGCATTTAAAAATCTATGTACCATGAATGGTTAAAATTTCCATGAAGCAGTCTTTGCCTATTTGGTAAGTACATAAAGATTTAAATGCCTTTGAATGGAAAATATATTGCAAGCTCTAAGGAGACTTTTAGAAGGGTAGTAGAAAGGAGTTAATGAATAACTGGGGTGTAAGACAGTAATGACATTTTCAAGGCACTTAAGACATAGCAGCAGCTAAAAATATTACATTCACGTAAGAGCTTCTCCAGATTTTCAGTCTTCTGAGGTTAGAAAGAACTTGAAAATTCTTTGTATGAGTTAGATTATTTGATCTTGTTTACATCTAAGGGAAAAGAGAACCCAACCTGCCTACTCAGGCTTGTGCTTTTGAATTATACCTAACACCATGACTATTGATGGTCTTAGATACATTGCTAAAAATGAAATGGAATTGTTAAAAAGTGATGATGCAAGTTTAAGGCATCAACATAGAGCCAAGGGGAAGACTTTTACCTACATGAAGTCTGAGTGTATGATTCTGAAAGATGTTTTATTTAAATTTTTCTCATTTCATTATCATTCATGCCAGTGGTTTTCAAACACTGATACCATATTGCAGTATAGTGAGCTGGAATACAGTAATAAATTAAAACTATTTATTATTTTTATTTAGCATTATTATTCCAGATGCACAGGGATTGTGTGGCAGGATTTTTAAAAACAACAGATTTTGTGACCCCTCCATCCCTTACAATTCTAACTCAGATGCCTTGAGTGACCTATATAGTGACACTTTTTAGGCAGTGATCTAGGAGAATGTTCACAATATAAATGTGCAGCAAACAAGTGGTCAATTGCAATAAAAATGAATCATGTACACTTACTGTATTTATTTCAGTCCAGTAACACTAGACTTAAAAATCTTTCTTCTTCCTTTTCTATTCTTCTTAATTAGCACTTTTTTCTCAAGACTTTATTTTCTGGTTATATTAGTGCAATTTTCTCTGAACCATTAATGTTATAATCTTTCTTTGAATCAAATGTAAAATTAATTTTTCTCTTTGTTTTGGAAATTCTGGACAACATAATTTGCTGAAGCTGTAACACCTCAGATTATGAGAGCTTGTTTTTTAGTTCTATCACTAGCTCAATCACTTACATATGGGTTGAACATGACTGCTCCATGACATGGAGGTCATAGGCTATTCTGTGCCTAAAGCCCCCAGAGGACAGGGAGTGGAGTGGGCAATCCACCCTGCCTGCCAAGTCAAGCGCCCTAGTGCAGGACTGCCTCCCCTGGAAGAAGGACTACTATTTTTCTGATTTGTCAAGCTCTAGGCCACCTTTTAGTTATTTAGAGGCCTAGGGGATCAGGAAGGGTAACAAACATAGAGCATCTTCTTTTTTTGCTTCTCACAAAAGCAAGGAAGCAAGAAAAAGAGGAGTCTCACAAACTCTCTTCTCTCAACGCCTTTCTCCTCCTCTTACTATCACATTTCATTCAAATTTTGAAGTCAATGAGAGAATGTTTCTGATGGTGCAAAGTTGAAAGAATCCTGCAAAGTTGGCATGGTGGAGCTTTGTTCCAACTGGAAGGATGCCGTAGGGAGGATCTTGCAGGAGAGCTCAGAAACTCTACTTGTGAGGCTGGAGGTAGAGGACTGTTTACCTAGGAGGAATGATTAGTGCTTACAAACTTCATTTTTGAACTCTCTAGACATTTTTCCTTATCTGCAAAATGAAAAAAGACTACTATCTCTATGGCCTTTCCAAAACTTAAAATTCCATCTTGTGAAGTTAATTTTTAAATTTTTTTTGCTTAAATTTTTAAGTTTTAAAAATTATAGTGAAGTACAAGTAATATAAAATTTACCCTTGAAATCACTTTAAGTATACAGTGTAGTGGTGTTAAGCACATTCATGCTGTTCAGTCATTACCATCACCCATCTTCACAACATCTTATCTTGCTAAACTGAAACTCTATACAATAGTGAGACTTTTCTTACATGTTTATCAAAACTGCCTTTGTACTGAGACCATTTTACTGGTAGGGAAATTTGTATACAGAGAAGTTAGATAACTCAGCTATGTGCCATCAGAAAATTTCTACTTGTAAAAATGTAGACTTCTTTGCTTCTGAATTTTCCACCAGCTGCTTTTATACTGAGCTTCAGTACTTTTAATTCATTTCACCCAACTTATTCAGTATCTTCTGTGTGTTTAAGACAGAATAGCAAGATTGATCAGTCAGGCCTAAAGGAATGTGAATAATATCAAAAGGCATTTAAATGTTTTAATGTTTTAGTATGCGTAATAAGACATCATATAAATGCTGAAAAGAACAATATGGTTTTTTTAATCTTGAAAGGAGTTAACCATGTTTTGGGGGCCTTTCAAACTTGACAGTGTTTGTACATTAAAAGCATTTGTGTGTTTCAGCAGTCTCTAACTCGGTCCTGTTTGTCCCAATTTTGCATATATTTCTGGGCAAACTCCTGCCATTCTTCACTGAGATGATGTCTCTTGACACAAAATGGCATGTAATTTGAAGCAACTGTTATTCCCTAGCTGGCTGGATCCCTTTTTTTTTTGTTTATTTGTTCTCTGGCAAAAAAAAAAAAAAAAGTAGTGGAAACTACACTCATGTCATCCATATTCTCTGATAAACTTTGCAGAATAATACTGGAAAGTGATTGTTCTAAGATCACCTGTGAAGAACACACATTCTGTGAAACTTGTGGTGTTACTATTGCCTAAATTGAATGTTGGGCCCTGCGATGCTGATGTGAATGCAAAACCAGTGTATATTCAAGTTTTGTATGTATGAGTTGGTGGAGTTCAGTGGAAATGGTAGAGCACAGCAGTATCTCTTTCTGTATAAGCCAATTTAAAAGGGACCACATTCCATACCTCTGAAATGATTAAACTCTTGACAGTGTTTAAGAATTCTAATATATTTTAAAACTATGTTCTCTCTTCTGCTATCCTGCATAAAATCCTAAGAATGCATTTCCTCCCAATGAGCTTACTGAATATCCATGCTATTTCAATTATTATTTTTTGACACTTAGCAAACACTGACTTATATAATTTTCTATATCCAAGGGGTATATGGATACTGACTTACCATAATATATAATAGTCTATATTTTACGATAAGAAATATAATTTAGAAAATGTGGCCTATAAAAGTAAATTAAACACTTCATAGCAACAAAAGTTGAACTCTAATCACCTCCAAATAGGTTTCCAAAATAACAGAAATACAACTAATTCCTTTTGACCTCTTAGCTGGATAAAAAGAAGCATAAAGAATTTCCCAAACAAGACTTGAAAGTTTAATAATTTAAGAAGTTAGTCTTTAACTAACTTCTTTCCCCCAAATGTAGAACTGCAGAGGACAAAAATGATTGGTAATTAATGACTCAAGCCTTTTATGTGATACTAATCCCTTACTATTTGCTAGGTTTCAATGGTTACGTGAAGGATGTTAAATTTACACGGGGTGCTGTCGTTAACTTGGCATCTGTGTCCAGCAGTGCTGTCAGAGTCAATCTGGATGGGTGCCTATCAACTGACAGCACTGTTAACTGCAGGGGAAATGACTCCATCCTCCTTTACCAGGGAAAAGAGCAGAGTGTTTACGAGAGTGGTCTTCAGCCCTTTGCAGGTAATGCGGAAGTCTCTAAATTAAATGCTACATATACCCTGTTCATCCCCTTTCCCTCCCTGTCAGCCCACCATTAATCTATTGGAGGGCTATTTTAATATTTCTCCTTCTTATTTCTATTTAAGAATACCTGTATCAAGTCATAGCCTTACACGAAGGAGGTTCAGTGTACAGTGATTGGAGTCGAAGACATACATCAGGAGCAGGTAGATTTCTATTTATCTTAAAATGTGTATGTGCACATACATGCATGTGTTTGTACATGTAAAGAAAAGAATACTGCCCTGAAATATTAAGTCTTTTGTAATCTTGTGACCTAGCATGTCTTGGCTTGAAAATATAATGGCTAAAACACTTAGTCAATCAGTGCTTTTGATTTTTTAAGAATTTGTTAAATATTTACTAAGGCTTGATTCTTCCTTCTTTAGATGGAGAGAGAGAAAATTCAGGTATCTTAAGGATTTAATAAGACTTGCCTACCATAATGTATCCAAGACTGGGACCTTCATGGGCTACATAGATCCCAAGAGGATGAAGTCGGAGTCCCAGATAACATTAAATGGGGTGCCACCTTTGGACTTATGCAGAGAACACCTTTGAAACTTGGACCTGCTTGGAAGCAGATGCATTTGTTAACACATCGTTGCAGATGCTTGTGATAGTGTTGAAAATCAGTAGCATTTTACTATTGAGAGTTAGCTATTTGTCAGAAAGGCAAACCCATCTCCTGTAGTTGCCAACTTGTGTCTCTGGGACACAAATTGTTACACAGCAAGTAACAATTTGTCTAAAGATAAGTTTTTCACCATGATATTCTCTTATGCTTATCAACAATGGGTCACTACACCAGGCATACTTTGTGGAATTTAAAAGATAATGAAATACCTAGGTGGGCTGCTAACAATAATTTTCAAAGCTCTCTGCCTCTAGATTTTCCAGAAGAGAACAACTTGACACTTTTTCAGGATAATTTAAATAATCTATTTATAGGCAAGACAGTGAGGTGACTGATCCTTAAAATCCTTTTTATCTTCAAAGCAGGGAATAACTCTGATATAAACTATTCAGTTGTTACTGACATGTTTTCTACTCTTCTTTCATATTCCTCTACATTCTTTGAGTATGTTGGCAATTTAAATAGGTGTCTAGAAAGTGCATTGCTTACATAGCTCTAGTTCTCATTTTCAGTACCATCAAGAAAGTATGCAAATAGAGCTCTGAATTTATAGCAATGATCTGACCACAAAGTCTTATGCCATAAATTCATATTTACAATCTGACCACAACACCATGCAGCTACATGCTCCCCAGGGTTGGAGAATAATTGCACTATTTAATTATTTTTGAGTCAGTTTTGCTCTGTCCCTTATGAGAAGACCATCTGTTAGAGAGTACGGTACTTTGCCCTGTACCACATTTCAGAACTAATAAAATCAACATCTCTCCCCTTGTCCCTTACTCACAACTCGATGGTGTGGGTCATGTGTTTTCTATAGGTGCCCATGGTGTCTTAACTGCGCAGAGTGATTCTTCTCCTTTGTGTTTCCTCTCCTCCGTTATGCTCACTTTGTTTCCCTAAACCTGTCCTGTTTTATTGGCCTGAACGGTGAAGTTGAAGAAGGAGGATATTTGATGTGGGAAAAACAGAGTGATCTTCCATCGACAGGACTCAGGAGCCCATGAGCAGTTAAAGCAGGTCCCTCATCCATCATCCTGCCATGGAGTTCCTTGGGCTCTCTCTTTGTGTCCCTGTGCAGTCAGCTGTGATGAAGTTGTTACTTATCAGAAGTGCAGAGATATCTAATAAATAGTTAAAGTTATGGATTTTTTACATTATGGGTCTCAGCTTGTGAGGTTTTGCAGTTCCTTCAAACTTTCTTATTTTGTATTATCGTTTTGAGACACTCTGAGGACAATGTCTCCAAAAATGATTTTTGAAAAATCTGATGGGCAGAAGTTCCCCTACCCCCCAAAATGCAATTCAGAATATCCCATACATCATATCCGATAGGGCTTGTCTTTATAAACTTAATATGCAAACAATGGCATTTGGGAAATGAGACCAGCCATTCAAGTACAACACAATCACATGTGTGACTTTTTTTTTTGGCTGATGCATGGAAGATATAAAAATGTCAAACCACTGTGTATAATAACAGTGTAATTATCTTGCTTCAAAGGGGTACATCGTCATATTGCTCAAACTGGTTATCAGTCTACTATCCACCTCCTTCTTTATGAGTGATGTTTAAATGTCTTGGATACACTAAATGTTTTTGGGAAACCTGGACTAGACTTAAAAGAATGTTATGTCGATGGAGTTTTGATGGTTTTGAAATATCGCTTAAACTGAATGACTCAAGATGTGCAGTCATATTAAATCAATGCTGGAAAGTTACAACTCTAATAAATTGTATTTATGCTAATGGTTGAGTCTGATTTACTGCAGCCATTAAAAGTGAAGAGTAGGGGCAATAGTCTTCTCAGAACTGTCATTTTCTCTGTTTTCTCTTTTACTCATTCATAGCTCCACGAAGTGTGCCAACTCCCTCAAGAGTCCAAAGCATAAGTGGATATAGGATTGAAGTGACCTGGGATGAACCTATCATAGTTAGAGGTGTAGTTCAGAAGTACATTCTGAAAGCCTACAGTGAGGGTGACCCTCATTTGTCCCGGATGCCTTCTGCCAGTGCTGAGTTTGTCGATACCAGTACCTTCACAGGTACAGGCAATACCTTCATGGAAGCAATATAATTGACTACTTTCTTGTTTACATTATGAATAAAAATGTTCTGCAAGCTTTCTTTCCCCCAAACACATTAAACATACATGTATTTCACCTAAATAAAAACAACATGTGCCAGGCTGAGTGTGGTGCCCATGCCTATCATCCTAGCACTTGGGAGACTGAGGCAGGAAGATTGCTAGCTCAAATTAGCTTGGGCTATGTAATGAGACCATTTCTCAAAAAAACAAAAACAAACATCCATTTAAAGTGGTGGAAGCCTGCCTCTATCTACTTAGGTTGAAAAGAGTAATTCTACAAAGAGCATGGGCTTTCATGAGTATTTTGATTACAAGGTTGATATTCTCTTCTTCCCAAAAAGACTAGGACACAGGTGGCTGTGGACTTTGACTACTTCATAGACATTTTTGAGGGTCGTATCTATGCATACAGCTATAGCTTACCTATTTTACCATGCAAAACTTTACTCTTTGGGATTAGCCTAAGTTCACACCACCATTATTTGTTGTAAAATTGCTGATTAAACCTAATTATCTCAAGGTGGAGGACTATGAAAGCACCAGCAGTCTGACTGGCAAGTGGGTGAATCAATTTCTCACAGTGCAGCATATCATGAAGAATGATTAGAATGAGATCCACCCCTGCACACCCCTTACACATCACATGCAGAAATTTTCAACTCTGGAGGGTATTTTTCAGCTTATGAAATGTTAAAGCACACTTAAATGGATAAACCAAATTTAAGCTTTTGTCTAAAAAAGGTAAAAATCCATCAAATTTAGTAGAAAAAATTCCTCTATGAGCAAAAAATTTGTAACTTTAGCCATCAGAGGGATGTTAGAATAGGCTTAAGTTTCTTTCCTCTTCCCATCATATTTATTACTCAATCTAAGTCTTTATTTCCTTCTTTAACCGATTTTTAGAAAATAAAATCATACCCTCCACTTCCTTCTTCCATCTTCTTATATTTCTGATTAAAAACTCAACCTGACTCTACCTTGTTCCATGTTGCATGGGAAGATAAGCAGGTTGGAAGTCTTGGAGCAGTTTGTCACTAAAAATTCTCAACCCCCAACTTCAAATATACCTCCGATAATGAATGATTCTAATCCTGCCATGTTTCTATTATAAGCTCCCCCATTCTCCTATTTAACTATTTTGTATTTTTCCAAACTATCTGAATGTTAATCTCCCTTCCTCATCGCACTCCCCTGATGGCTTTATATTTTAGATCAAATTAGATACCATAGATGAAAACAGAATCAATTGTAAAGGATTTTTATTACTTGCTTGCTTCCAAATGTTTGTATTAATTACATTTGTCTGCCTGATGAGGTTTTTATTAGGGGTTCAATGATTTAATGCATGGGAAAAGACCTAAAACCATATCTGGCATATTTAGTATTTGTTATCATTTGACTTTCACTATCATTTTTGACTTTTCTCTCTTTTTTTCTTGCTTTTAACAGAGCTTTCCTTAGCCCAATAAAAATAAAATTTCACTGGGACGGGTAGATTGGCTCAAGTGGTAGAGCTCCTGCCTAGCAAACAGGAGGCTCTGAGTTCAAACCCTAGTTTTGCAAAAAAAAAAAGACTTAAAAATAAAATTTCAAAAATCTCTGGGATTCCAGCTCTTCCTGTCCTTCAGACATGTTGCTGACAGTTTATTTTCCTGTCCCTTATGTTTTTGACTTCTCTCTTCTGTACTACAGGGTGGCTCAAGACCATCATCAGTAGCTTGACATGAGAACTTGTTATTATGCAAAATCCCAGCTCAATTTCCACCTGATAAATCAGAACCCCTGGTCACCAACAATCCTGGCTTTAATAAGCCTTTGACTGACTCTGATGCCTGCCAAAGTTTAAGAATCATTGCTCTGGTGGATTCTTTCCAAGATCATTCAAATTCTGTTAATAACAACCTCATTCAAACCAATACCAAAAATTGTTTGTTTATTTAAATACTCCTCAAATGATGCTCCTTCTCTCCTCTTCCCAGACTTCCTTTAGTGCAAGGTAGCTAGGCACAATGTCCCTGCTTCTTCACCTCACCTGGCTTCTGCTTACTTACTTAGCCATGTTTACACATGCAGAACACGCTATGATTTCGTTTTCACCATTCCACAATATTCTACACAATAAATTTCTCAGCAATTCTTGAAATATTCCTGTGCTTCTATGATTTCTGTTCACCTCTTGGTTCTTGGGGCTCTCTTCTCAGTGTCCTCTGCTCATCCATTCTGAAACTGGACTCTTCAATATTTTGAAGATATCTCAAGATTTAGAGCAAGGTACTCCTCCTCTTTTGCTATAGTCTTCCTCCAGAAACCTCATCAATTCCTATGACATCAAATATTACAGAGTGGCTGTTACCTCTGAGTTGTAAACCTCACTGGGACATCCAAATATCTACATCCAACAAGCGACTGGACACACTGACACTTCCAATTGGCGACTTCTCGCCCTCTGAACTTACCATATCCGTAGCCCGAAACTTCTTCCCCGGCATTTCCAGTATCTATGGAGGACACCTCCAGTCACCCACTTAATCTTGCCTCTCCACTTTCCCTTCACACCTCAGATCCATATTTGTCAATCAGTTTTCCAAAATATTTGCTAAATTCACACATCTTAACCCTAACTGGTGATTTGGCCACATTACCACATCTCTTGTTTGGATAACTGTAATTCTCATCTGTTCACAGCCTTTTTTCTTTCTACCCTGGTCCTGAATCTGTACTAGTGTGCAGCTGATATCATTTCACTCTCCTCAAAATCTTTCCACTGGCTCTCCCTCAGTCACATTTTGACATTTTGTCTCAGTCTTCCCTTATGTTCCAGATTTCTATTGGTTTTGGTTTGTTTTTTGTAGTATTGGGATCTGAACTCAGAATCTAATGCTTGTGAGGCAGGCACTCTACTACTTGAGCCATGCTTCCAGTCCCTATTTTTTCAGGTAGACTCCCACTTTTTGCTTAGGCTAGCCTCAGATTGCAATCCTCCCATTTTAGCCTCCTAAGTAATGGGATCACAGATGCGAGCCTTCACATTCAGCTTGTTTGTTCAGATATAGTCTTGCTAAGTTTTTGCCAGGGCTGGCCTGGAACTATGATTCTTTTTCCAATCTCTGCTTCTGGAGAAGCTGGGATTATAGTTTGTGTCACTGCACTCAACCTGGATTTCCAAATTTGCTGTTGAAAAAAACCAATCTGTCTGTAAATCTTTAGTGCAGTTCCTCACAATGATCATGGGTAAACCCCTAGAAGAGGAACAACTGGGTCAAAGGCTCTCAAAATGTTATAGAGTCTTGGACTTGAAAGTCAAACATTGATACAAATTCTTGCTATGTACCTTCCCTGTTACTTGGGAACTATACACATTCTTCTGGACCTTTCTTTAATGCTTTCACCTTTGAAATGGGAGAACAATATTTACCTAAAAAGAAGGCTGAAATATTTAATGATATGATAACGCCAGCTCTAACACATTTCAACTGTGCTGCTTGGGCAAATTAGTTAAACAGTGTGCTTTAGATTCCTTAATGCTAATGAAATATAACCACTCACTCAAGAGAAGAAAGTGACCCATGTGTGTGTAAAGCACATCGCACAGAGCTTGACATGTGAAGTGTGTGACTGGCATCACACGTCTGCAAAGTTTGCATTGTTGTTTACCATATGGTAATTTTTTCACAAAGGTAAGTGATTTTTCTGGTGTTATTACTGCCAAATATTTGCCCAAATTTTATACAAATTATACTTCTAACAGCAAACAGAATACAAAATTATTCATTGAATTTCATCTCAGCCAACACCATATTTTACAATTTAAAAAAACTTTTGCAAATTTAAATGGCAAAATGTGTTAAAATACTGTTTTGGGGAGCCACTACTGGGGTTTGAACTCAGGGGTTTATGCTTGCTAGGCAGATACTCTACCAATTGAGCTATGAGCCCCATCTTAAAAACATTGTTTGAATTTGTATTTATTTGATAACCAAAGACGTTAAGTATTTTCAGTCTTCGTTGATCACTCAGACTTCTTTGTGACAGGCCTATGTAGGTTCATTATTAAAATTTCCATGACATAATTCACTTCTCTTTTTGATCTAAAGTTGACATATAAAGACTATGCAAATTCGCTGCATGTGATGCAAGTCTCCCCATTTTGTTTTTACTTTCATTTGGATTCTATGCGGATTTTTTAAATGATTTTATGTCGTCGTTATAGCATTTAAATTTTTGTTGCTTTTCTCTGGATGATTTGAATGATATTTATATTCCAATCAAAGTAGACTAATATTTATTTATATTATATACATATTGTATTGATAATATATAATGCTTTTTTGAAATGGCACTTGTAAATTTATAGTAAGATCAAATCAGAAACTGGCTGCAGAATAGCATTATTTTTGGTGAGAACCATCAATGTTCAATTTTCAGTATTTCTTCCCAGGCGTCCCCTTATTTTAGTTGTCCAGACAACAGTTTGTGGAGCCAAGTCCATCCATGTTCAAATTCTCTTCTGCCACTTAGTTATGATCCCATGATCTCACTCAAGTGTAAAATGATATTCCTATGTGGGACATTCGTCATGTATCAGTTGGGGATATTATGAAACCATGAAGACAAAAATGAATTACTTATATAAAATATTTTGTTCAGAAATAGGCACACAGTAAATATTCAATGAACTCATACTTGAGTTTATAATTTCTAAGTTACATTTTCTGAATCCTAGGATAATAATCATTTCTTCTTTTATTTTCTGATTTTTGTGTTGCTGGTTCTGCTCGTTGAACCTCCTCAGAAGAGTTATAGTTCCTCTGTTTCTATCCTATGATCTGCATTTGTTCTTCATCTTATACAGCTCACTTGAATTTCTGCCTGCCTCTCCGTTTTTATTGTAATCTCTCTTGATTGCCATTCACCTGTGTCTCTTGTTTCATGGGTTCTAAATTCTTGAGATTTCAT